TGGTTTGGGGTGGGGGGGGAGGATGGCACCAAGCAGAGATGACCCAGAGGTGCTGTGGAGTCTAGGTCTGAGGAAGCTAGGCCAGGGCTGAACTATCAAGTCCCAAGGTGGTTCTGGGAATAGAATCCAAATTTCAGGTGATAAGATAGTAGAGATGGTGATCCAAATGGACAACACATCTTGTGGAGATGGCTAAGGATTGAAGAAAGAAAGAGGCAAACCTGTAAGTTACTTAGAAGCCTCTAATATGCATACCATACCTTTTTCTAGAATAGAGTTTGGGAGGTCCAGAATGTGGTCCTGGTGACCTTTTTTTTTTTCATTAGCCAATCCCTCTGTGACCCACCTTATGGTTTCAAATGATATTGTTGTATTCATTTCCATCTTTAGAAGCAGAGGTTATGTGTTGGATGAAACATACATTATTATTGCTGTTTTTGTTATTATTCTTGTATGTAAGGCTGCAAGTACAACCCTCATTCTGAGAGTCTCCTTTCTTCTCTATAATGTAGAAGACTTTATCAAAAGTTAAGTATGGTTTGCTGTAATTTCTTTTATTTTCATGTTGAATTAATAGTTTTCTTTGAGGTATTACCATTTGTAGCCTCATAAATTTGATGGTCAAAAGTGCAAGAGGTTTAAATTTTTTTTTCAATTCTTTTAATATTTACAAAAACTTTTGTCCTTATAACCTTCCCACCCCAAGGTGACAGTTGCTTCTGTCAAGTTTGTTTCAGGGAATGTATTAGTATGCCTATTCAAAGATAATGACCACCTCCAATTGTCATTGAATAGACGTCATCCTTAGGCTAATTATGAGAATCTGTGCATCATAGATTTTCTCCAGACATTAAGAGAGACAAATCTTGAGTACAGAAAGGAGTATGCTCCTGTGTTCTGGTCAATTAGCACACAGAGAAGTTTGTCCACTAGCTCAGGCTCATGCTGCCCAGCCAGCTTCTATTTGTCAGTATTTGAGAACACTTGGAAATTGAGGGACCTCACTGATAGGGACTGATATCAGAAGCAGAGCTTTTTCACTATGTAGGCAGAGCCATTCAGCCTCAAATTACATTGCTGCAGAAGACTTATACTGTAGCCCTTTAAATGGACACAGGTACATGTATCAGCTGGAGAAGACTGGTTCAAGACCAGAAGAATGTTTACAGGTCCCCGAAAGCATCTTTCATCTAAAGCATGCAAGAGGCCCTGGGGGCAGTATTTGCACTCCAAGCATTTACTATTCATACAAGATCCAGCCAGATGTAATTCATCTCTGCAATAATACATATTCTTAAATAGGTTTCACCCGAATATACAGGAGTTGTGTATTAGGTTTTTCTTTTACTTTTTAGTAACCCAAGAGGGGGAGAATACTGTTTATTTATTTAGACAGCATCAGCTGCTAAATGTTGGAGAATGTCCAGGAAGAGATTATTTAATTATTTTTATTTTACTAAATTAAAATTTTGTTTTTTGAGAAACTGTTATTTGTATAAATTATCAAGATTTGTAGGCTTTCCTTTTGTAGAAATAATTGTTTTATGTGCCAGAGAAGAGAAATTCAATTTTGTTTTCAACAATAAAGCATTAATAACAAATACAGCTTGTTGCAAACTTTTTGTCTATTGCAGCCATGTAAAATATACTTTAATTTTAACATGCCTCATTGAGAAAAGTGTATTGGTCTATTGAAAACTCCTACCTTAGATTCCTGGCTCCCAGTGTGTTCCCTCTCTGATCCATTTCCACATAGCAGCCAGAATTGCCTTCCTTAAGCACAAGAGATTATTTAATTCTTAAACTGTTATATTTAGCTCAGGAATATAGTACATATGACGAGCTTTGAACATCACACACACAGACATACACAGGAATACACACACATACATACAGAGGGAAAAAAATGACCATATTTTAAAAAGTGGTAAAAAAACTGGTTATTGATGTGGGAGGTATTTTTGAATCAGTTGTATGTGTCTAATTGGAATATTTGACCAGTACAAATCAATACCCAGCTTGAAGAAAGGATAAAAATGAGGTGTCGTCAACAATTACAGTAGCTCCAATCCAACCTACTAAAGTAAGTTATTCATGTAGAAAGTGGGAAGTGGTTAAAGGGAAAAAAATGATATTAACACCATTTTCTACAGAAAATGTAAAATTAAGTAAAATTAAAAATTGCCACAATAAGGGAACCAGATTAATCCAGGAACCACCTTACCTAGCAAATTCCAGAGAACCTGGGTTCGAATCCTATCTCTGGAACTTACTACTTCTGTGACTTTGGACAAGTAACTTTACTGGTAAGGGTCTTAGATTCCTGGCGTATACAACAAAGGGTTGGACCAGATGATTTCTAAGGTTGCTTCCAGATTGAAATCTATGATTCTGTGACCTCCCTTGCTAAATGTAGAGATATAGCAGGTAAAAATAATACCAACCTAGAATATAAATTTATTTGTTAAATGTTTTAGGAGAGAATGATGAAGGATTATGAGTAGTATCACTTCATAAAAAAATGAAGAGCAGTAGAAATGAAAATCAGTCTATAGAAAGTATAGTATGCAATGAAAACATGCCAGATTATTTTAAGAGAATTTACAGATTAAATTGGGAGAACAATAAGTAGATGAAATATGGGATAAATCTTTCAGGACTTCTACAGAAATATTTCTATTTTTATAATCTATGACAGTGGAACCACTTTATTTGGACTTGCCTCAGTCTTCTATGTGCAACTTAAGAAAGTGGAAATGGTGCCTAAGAAAGTGAAGTTGGGAAGAATAGCCAGGGCAGATCAAGCACAGAAAAAGGAAATCTGTGTTGGAGTGACACAAACTGTTATCATCAACAAAAAATAACACCGAAGAATGTATTCTCTGTACCATTTAGTCCATTGTGTGACTGTGAACATGTGGTCTATAATATAAGAAAATGATTTGTGAAAATCTGCCTGTTTCCTTTTTTCCCCTTATAGGGATACTCTCAGTACATGTATAGTTCATTCTCATTCAACAGAGTTTTGAAAATAGGGGTGTGTGTGTGTGTGTGTGTGTGTGTGTGTGTGTTTTAGTAGTTGCTGATGACCTCTAGATTGCCTTTTTATGGTGATAATGGATAATGCCATCTGAGTTCTTTCACTCTTCTTTTGGTGTACTCTTTTCTTTCATTTAGTATGAAAACAGATGTCTTAATTCTTTTAAAACTGTGCTACCTTCATCATGAATTCCTTAGTCTTTTTAGTTGCTCTTCGTAACTTCATTTTCTAGTGTTGTTTCTAGTTCCTCGTCAAAAAGTTCACAGCCGTTGATTTCAGAAAAAACCTGGACTTATATGAACTGATGCAAAGTGAAATGAACAGAACCAGGAGGACATTATACATGGTAACAGCAATAAGTATGATGATCAACTGTGAACGACTTAGCTATTCTCAGCAATACAATGATCGAAGACAATTCCAAAGGATTCATGATAAGAAAAGAACTCCAGAGAAAGAACTGATAGAGTCTGAATGCAAATTGAAGCATACTGTTTTTCACTTTCTGTATTTTTTCATGTTTTTTTTTTTTAGGTCTGTGTCTTCTTTCACAACATGACTAATATGGTAATATATTTTGCATAATTGAATATATATAACCTATATCAAATTGTTTACCCTCTTGGGGGGGGTGTGAGGGAAGGAGAGAGAAAACTTGGAACAGAAATATTTTTAAATAAATATTTAAAATTATTTTTACATGTAACTGGGGAAAAAATAAAATATTATTAAAAAACTAAAATCACAGCCATCTCCCAGCCATGGTGACTATTTTCTAGTCTCCCCTCTCTTCTCACTGAAACTCAGTCCCTTGCTCCTGGGAAGCTGAACTCTGATTGGTGAACTTTCACTTTATCTTGCTTGGTCCCAGGACCATAATGCCACTGTCAGGCCACGTCCAGGCCATGATTCCTCCCTTCCTCATTTTTTAACAACTGGGAGAATCAATGGAATCTTCTTGGAGTAGTTTTCATCTGAATTGGGCTTTAAAGGATGGGTAGGAATTCCTTCTCACCTCCAAGAATTTCTTCGAGCTGTTCCCTCTGTGTCACATATTTTCAATATTTTCTTCACCATTGACTCTTTCCCATAAGTCTACAAACTTTGTTAGGTCTCCTCAGGCCCCCAAAAAGGTGGAGCAAGAGTGGTAAAAATGAATGGTGTGGGCCTCAAAGGAGGTGAAATCATTGAAAAATAATGGGATAGTGGGAGAGAAAGGATGGAAAATGGGAAATGAGGAGTATACTTACCCTTGCCAGGGTTATGATCCTGTCTTAACTACTTAGTATCTATATGACTCTGGGCAAGTTGTGGAATCTCTCTGGGCCTTAGTTTCCTCATCTATAAAATGAAAGGATTTGGACTAGAAGACCTTTAAGGTCTAACCTTTAAATCCTTCTCTCTCCATTATATCTTCCCTTACTACTCCAGCCCATATTAATTTCTCAAAACATCACTGACCTTAGTAACCTAGTTTACAACTTCATTATTCTTTAATTGTTTTGTATAAATGAATCCTTTTTCCCAAGCCATAGTGCAAATAATGGAAGACAAGGGCTATGCTTTATACCTTTTCCCTGTAACCTTAAATATAATTTTGAGCATACAGTTGGGCCCTTATTTGTTAGCTGATTAGCTTATCTTTACCAAGTTCATACTTGCTCATATAAATGAAACAACCAACTTACAGGCTCAGGTAAGCTCAGGGAAAAAAAAAACTCCAAAATAAAATTTACCTCATATTCCTTTTTCCCCTCAGATCCACAATTACATTCATTTTCATGAGCATCTATCAATATTTAATGTATGGGTGTCAGTTTAGCTGTAAGCTGAGAATACCCTAACACCAACTTGAATTAATTATGCTCTCGAGGGGAGAAAATTAAATGCTCTTTTTTCAAAGCCCCAAGTTTCCCTGGCTAAGTTAGTTTTTGGGAGCCATAGGACAAAATCTCTACGGATGGATGATCCTGAGAAGAAGACAAACCAAAAGTGTGAAAGCAAACCCCGAAAAGTGAGATTTAAAATATCTTCATCCTACAGTGGTAGAGTATTGAAGCAGGTATTTGAAGATGGCCAGGAGCTTGAGTCCCCAAAGGACGAATACCCTCACAGCTTTATCCAAGAGTCTTTTGAACCAGTGGAGAGTGTCTATGGGGCTGGAGAAACTCCCAAACCAAGATTTTATTCTACAAAATTGGCTGCTCAGCGAATCAGCGTTTATAGAGAGAGAAATGCCTACACCCTGGCAGGTAGCCAGCCTCTCTTCAATGATTATAAAACTAATGACCATAAGGTAAGGACTGCACATATTTCACTAGCTTTCTGGAAGAGGCTTCCCCCTAAATCCTTTTGATCATTACTATATTAGATCAGTACTGAAAATCTCAGATTTGTGTTTGACTCAAGTTCAATAAAAAATAAAAATGGTAAGTGAGCTACATAGGAAAGTCATTAAAATAATACTCTGAGGAAAATAATATGCCTGTTGATAAGTTATTGGAAATTTGTGTAAATACATATAGTATTCAAATTTTCACTCCATATAATAGATTGTTATAAGGGCTTGGCTAAGCTCTCTGTGTATAAATTGAATAGATTGTTTTATGAAGTTGCATTCATTTCTAGCCACTAGACTGCCTTTTATAGAATTATGCAAAGTGGGTAGTCTTCTTTTCTAAAAGGGATAATGTAGCTAGTCATTTTTTTCAAGTTTAATTATCAAAAGCTAACAGCACAGAGACAGTGTACCTACCATGGGGCTCTGCACACAGCAAGGGCTTAACAAAAGTTTTTTGAATTGAGTTTATATAGGTTACAGATCAATAGATCCATTATCTTCCCTGACCTATTTCTGTCCCTACTCCTTGTCTGGTAATTTACTTTAATTAGCAATTTTAGCAGACACTGAAGGTCATGGAGAGAGGTGTTGAAACTCAAATCAATCTATTGTTCTACTTATCACTAAGAAAATGTTGCAAGAGGAGGATGTTTAAAGTGATAGTAAAAATGAAGTTTCCATCTGATCTGTGAATTTCAGGATCCTAGTATCATGGATAAGCATAAGTTGACTGAAGGACTGAGAGGTTTTGGAAAGTAGTTAATGATTTTTAAAAACTAATAGATTAGGTAGGTATGTTCTCTGCCCAATGAACTTGTAGTTGCCACTTTGGATGAAATACATTTCTATAACATATTAAGGGAGGCAGTGCGGTACAATAAAAAGATCATTGAACTTTGCTCTCTGAAGTTGGAATTATGGGACCTGATTTTGAATTCCACCTTTGCCATCTATATGCCACCTTCATGACACTGGGCAAGTCATTTAAACCCTCTTACCCTTAGTCTTCTCTTCTGTAAAATGGGAGTGTTGGACTAGACAACATCTGAGGTCCCTTCAGGTTCTAGATCTATGAAACTTAAACATTATTGATGCATAAGACACCAGAGTACATTCTCATCTAGAAAGTACAAAATGTAAGTGATATTTAATAATTTTAGTTAATTTGCTAAAGCCAACAAACATTTATTAAGTGTTTATTACATTCCAGGGTGAGGGAACAACCCAGAATATGTGTCTTTAAAAAAAAAAGTTCTTAGTGAATATTTTAAAAGTATGTTTTAGGCATATCCACATTGATCGAATTTAGCAGATATTCTTACAATATTCTTTTTTTTTTTTAAGGAAATTGGGGTTAAGTGACTTGCCCAGGGTCACACAGCTAGTAAGTGTCAAGTGCTTGATCTGAGTCCGGATTTGAACTCAGGTCCTCCTGACTTCAGGGCCAGTGCTCTATCCACTGTGCCACCTATCTGCCCCCTTTCTTACGCTATTCTTACAGAATGTAAATGACCAAAGCTCCTTGTACTATTTTAAATGATTTTAATTTTCACAAAATTGTGCAGAACCACTGAAGATAATATTAATTTGTTTAGAACTCCTAAATTATATGGTGATGCAGTGGATAGACCACTGAGCCTAAAATCAGAGAAGATTTGAGTTCAAATCTGGCCTCAGATATCTATTTGCTGTGTGACTGCAGGCAAGTCTCTTAACCTCTGTTTGCCTCAGTTTCCTCATCTACAAAATGGGATAATAATAGCACCTCCCTCCCAAGGTGGTTGTGTGGCTCAAATGAGATAATAATTGTAAAGCACTCAGCACAGAGTCCGGCACATACTACGTGCTGCATAAATGTTAGCTATCATCATCATTACCATCATCATCATTTTGACACGGTTCACTAAAAACCTCAGTACCTTGGTCAGAAATTTTCTGAGTCATACCATCACTGTAACATTCTGAAGGGGAATTTGAGATTCATTGGTTTTGTACTCATTCCAATTCCTCTGCACTTGCTCTCAAATTTGTTCCCATGTTTGCATTCTCACTAACACCCTCCTAATTTAGTACTCTTATTCCATCTTGCTGAGGCAGCCTCCTAAATGGTCCTTCTACCTTCAGTGTGTTCTCCTTCTAATGCATCCTGAATACCAATTAATCACAGTTTTTTCTTCCTATTGCACATCTCTATGATTATATCATTTTCCTGCTAAAAACTTTTAATGGTTTCCCGCTGCTTACAGAATAAAATCCAAAGTCCTTATCTTTGTATCCAAGGCCCTCCCTAACTTGCTCTAACTTACCTTTCCACCCTTATCTCAGCCTTATTACTGTGATTTACAAATGCTCCTTCCAAACTGCAACAATCATTAAAACATCCTCTGCTTTTCCACCTCTATACTTTCATTTAAACAATATCTATATATTACCCACTCCAAAATACTTACCAAAGCAAGTAAATTTTTAAAATTTTAATTAATTAATTTTTAGTTTGCAACGTTGGCTTTTATAAGATTTTGAGTTCTAAATTTCCCCCACTTCTGCTTCCCCAAGATGGCATGCAATCTGATATAGGCTATACATGTATGATCATATTAAATATATTTCCACATTAGTTATGTTGTGAAAGAAGAATCAGAACAAAAGAGAAAAACCATGAGGAAGAAAACACAAAAAAACAACCAAAAAGAGAAAATGGTATGTTTTGATCTGCATTCACACTCCATAGTTCTTTCTCTGGATGTGAATAGCATTTTCCATCATGAGTCTTTTGGAATTGTCTTAGATCGTCAAAGCAAGTAAATTATTACTGTGTACCTACTATACCAGGCATTGGGCTAATCACAGGGATACAAAGAAAGGCAAAAGACAATCTCTCCTTTCAAGGAGCTCATAGTCTAATGGGGGAGAGAACATATAAACAACTATATACAAACAAGACGTATACAGAATTAATTGGAAATAGTCTCAGATGTTAGGCATAGCTTAAGAGGTGTAGGGAACAGCTTCTTGCAGAAGATGGGATTTTAGCTGAGACTTAAAGGAAGTCAGAAAAACAGGAGATGTAGTTGAGGAGGAAGAACATTCCAGGTATGGTAACAGCCAGTCAAAATGCACAGAGTTGGGAAAAGGAGTGTCTTGTATGAGAAATAGCAAGGGAGCCTTTATCATTGCATTACAGAGTATATGGAGGGGAGTAAAGCTTAAGAAATCTGGGCAGGCAGAAGAGGCCAAGTTATGAAGGGCTTTATAAGCCGAACAAAATATCTTATATTTGATCTTGAAGGCAATGGAGCCACTTGAGTTTTTTGAATAGCGACATAACATGGTCAGACCTGTGTTTTAGGAAAATCACTTTGATAGCTGAGTGGAGGATGGATTGAAGTAGAGAGAGACCTGAAGCAAGGAGACCAACCAGCAGGCTATTTCAATAGTCCTGGCTCGAGGTGATGTAGGCCTGAACCAGGCTGGTGTAGGATAGTGTCAAAGAAGAAAAGGAAATGGGTATGATAGATATTATGATAGTAGAATCCACACGGCTTGACAAATTGAAATTCTTTGAGCATTTCCTTTGTATCTGCCACGCAGCTTCACACCCTCTTGTGTATTATATATTATTTATTCTTCCTCTCTTCCTCCCAAACTCATCTCCCTGGATAGGAACACTGTCTTACACATCATTCATACCCCTCAATTCCTAACGCAATTTCTTGAGCATATTAGCTAGTCAATAAGTACCTACTAAATAGAGTGAAACAGAGTTTTTCTGAAAAAAAGATCTGGGGGTCTTAGTAGACTGCAAGCTTAGCTTGAGACAACAATGGGATATGTTAGCCAAGAAAGCTAGCATCTTGGGCTGTGTTAAGAGAAGCATAGCATCCAGCACTAGGGAGGTGATAGTTTCCATGTGCTTTGCCTTAGTGAGACCCCATCTATAGTATCATGTTCACTTCTGGGTGCCACAATTTAGGAAGGGCATTGATAATCTGGAGAGTATCCAGAGAAGGCGAAACAGGACGATAAAATTGATGACATGTAAGCAGTGGGTGAAGGAAATGGGGATCTTTAGCCTGGAAAAGAGAAGGCTTATGTTGGGGGGGGGTCTAGAAATGAGATACAGGATAGTGATTTTTAAGTAAATTAAACTTGTTTTGTGGAAGAGAGACTAGCTTTCTTCCATTTGATCTTAGATAGCAAAACTAGGAACAGTGAGTAAAAATTGCAAAAAACCACATTTATAATAATTAGAACTATCCAAAAGTATAATGAACTGTCCAAGTAGATGTTGGGTTCCTTCTTACTGAAGGTCTTTGAGCAGATTCATGATGGCCAGTTGTGTATATTGTAAATTGAATTTTTTTTTTAAATTGGTATGGGCTGAACCTGATGGCTATGGAGGTTCCTTCTAACTCTTGTAATTTGGCAATATTGGGAACCTTCATTTTAAGATGATTGTAAAGAAACTAGAGAATGATACAAAATGACTTAAAGAATGGAAAATAGGTTCTATAAGCAATGGTTAAAGGAGCAAGGCTTTCTTATCACATGGGCAAACATGATCCGTTAGCCTGTAAAGAGAGGATGAAAGGCAGGATAAATGGTCCCTTTAATAGTGGCTTTCGTATTGCTCATTCCCAGTAAGTATTGATCAAACAAAGGAGAAACCAATGTTCCTACACTGGGTACTATGAAAAGGGAAGTATCGTTCCCAGATTCCAATGGGTAGAATGAGTACACTAAGCAGTCCATCTTCATTCCCATAATACGTGAAATAAGATACCACGGATTTAAGTTACATGTAGAGAGAGTTTCCCTAGATACAGTGAAGACCTCTTGGCTGTCGAGGTGACTGAATACTGATGAAGTCTGTCAGTGGAAGAAGTGGAATATTTAACTTTGGATATTTTTACAGCTAGAATAAAAGCTCATCTGTTTTAGATGATAAACATTAGGGTGTTTTTTTTGTTTGTTTGTTTTTTGCTTTTTGGTGAGGAATCAGGGTTAAGTGACTCGCCCAGGGTCACACAGCTAGAAAGTGTCAAATGTCTGAGGCCGGATTTGAACTCAGGTCCTCCTGACTCTAAGGCCAGAGCTCCATCCACTGAACATCCCTTTGGCAGGCTGGTGAACCCTATGGACACTTCATAATAATGTTTTTAAATGTATAAGATAACAAAGGAAACCAATTATTGAAATACTTAGCCAAATATTAAACAATAAAAAGAACAAGTTCACAAATCCCAAGGTAAGAACTCTTGATTTAGGCGTTGACTCTCTTGGAGGCAGAGGGTTCAATCAGTTGACCTCTTAAGGTTCTTTCAGTTTGCCTTAAAAAAAAAACAGCTAAAAAAGCAAGAGAGCTTTATTATAACCTAACTAACTTCTTTGACTACTTACCACCGGAAGGGAAATGGAGCCTTCTGAAAGTGCCACCACCACGCTTATCTCTTAATGCTTAGAAATGGATACTGAAGAGTGAAACAGGACTCTGACTGACATTAAACAATAAGAAATGGAAGCTGCTACGTGATCCCTTGAGGAAGACCAGAGGCAACAGGGAAACTTGTGGCTTCAGAAAATTATCCTCTCAAACCAGGAGAGTGTATATAAAGGTCAATTTAAAGGGAAATTAAGCTGTGTAAGACCTCCTGAAAGTAGGTCCAGAATGAATTTGTTATGGTTTAAATAAGATTCTATTTAAATGAGATATAATACACTTTCTATTAGTTAAACTGATTTAGGCAATTCTTTGGGAGGAGGAAAGTATGTATAATATTGAAGATCGGGTTCTCTTTCTTTCTTTTCCTTCCTTCCTTCCCTCCCTCCCTCCTTCCTTCCTTCCTTCTTCCTTCTCTCCTTCCTTCCTTCCTTCCTTCCTTCCTTCCTTCCTTCCTTCCTTCCTTCCTTCCTTCCTTCCTTCCAGTTTTGTGAGTCCTATTCCTCTGTGTGCTCTTTTTGGAGTATCTCCTTTCCCTGTTCTTCCTATTCAATTCCTATTCACTCTTCAATGTTCAGTGTTCATATTGTATCTCCAGGCATGTCTTTGACCCCCTCTCTCTAAAGCATTGCTCACTCTATTGAGAACACATCACTCTTACTGCACTTTTGTATCCAACCTTGCTATACAGCTGTTGATGTAAATGTTTTATCTTCCTCACTGTATTCTAAACTCTGCGAAGATATGGCCTGTCTTGCTCATAGAATCTGGCACATGACTTTGAACATAATACGTTAAGAAATATTTGCTGAATTAAATTTTATAGCAATGGAACTTTACATTTATATGGCCTTACCTTTTCATAGATTTAGAGTTAGAAGAGATTCCAGAGGTCATTTGGTTGAGCTCTTTTATTTTATAAATAAAGATCTCTGAAGCCCAATGGTTGAGTGATTTGAGCAAGGTCACACACACACTCAAACTTGAGTCTTCCAATCCCCAAACTAGTGTTTATAGTCAGAGGATCATGGATTTAGAGATGAATGAATCTTAAAGGACATTGAGTCCAAACGTATCATTTTATAAATGAGGTGACTGAGGCACAGAGAAGTTAATTTGTCTGGGTTCATACTGCTAATAAATGTCTAAGGTGGGATTTGAACTCAGGTCTCCCTGACTCTAAGTACAGTACCCTATCTACTGTACCAGGCTGCATCTCATAATTCTCAGAGTTCTTCCCACTGCACACTGCTTTTCACTTTTTTTTTTTACATCACATGTCAGTAATATTAGGTGATGGTAATCCATCATCTCTGTAGGACAGTTCACAAAGGAAAAACCATGGGACATAAACTGTTTTGTTTAAGAGAAATCATATATCATCCCTGATGTTATTTTCGTTAGTAACCCTCACTGGTTTTGTGTAGACCTAACGTGAGACAAGTCCAAGGTGGTAACTAGACCAGGTTAAATAAACTCATGTTAGGTTCAGTTGGTAGATGTACAACAGCATTAGACAAATTCAAAAGGTCCATCAGAGCTAGTCTGCCACTTTTTTTTTGGCAATTGGGGTTAAGTGACTTGCCCAAGGTCACACAGCTGGCAATCTGCCACTTGTTGTGAAGACTCTTTGAAACTAAGTATATCCATAATTTCCTCTGGTTACACCTGACCTGCTGCTGAGCCAGATGTGGCCTTAGTCTCCTTGGCTGAATCTGGCCTTCCATTTACTATGCTTGGCTGAAATTATGACTTCTTTGAAAACGATCTTTCTCCTGTTACTTTTATACTTGTCACCAGGACTGGGTCATGAAGAAAACCTTACACATGGATTAAAAAAATACAAACAAACACCTTATTCTCAGTACCTCACAGTATATTGGGGCAAAGCACGAAATGTGTGGATTGAGAAGGAAAAGAATGTCAATTCTATTTGGTGACTGAGTCATTGAAAAAGTTTTTGGAACCTTTCTTTTCCTCTCCCTTCCCCTTCTCTTGCTCTTCCTTCCTGCTTCTTTGTCTCTTCCTTTTCCTCTTCTCTCTACCTTTTCTTAATTCTTACATTTAACTCTCTCCTATTTCACTCTCTCCTTCCTCTTCTCCTTTTCTCCCTTTTTTCCTCCTTTTCCATCTTTTCTCTCTCTTTCCTCCTTTCTCCCTCTCCCTCCTCTCCTTTTATTCTATTCTTTTTCCCTCCTGTCTCTCCTACTTTCTTTATTTTTTCCTTTTTCTATTCCTTTTCTTCTTCTTCTTCTTCTTCTCTTTTATTTTCTCTCTTTCCCTCCCTTCTCTAACTGGTGCGTATAAAACTGTAAGGCTTAAGTCTATTTTGTAAAAGCTGGTTGTTTTTCTGCTTACTTCTTATTCACTGGGTGATTCATCACAGGTGCTGTGCTCATTTTCACTCTCTGTAGTCCCCACCCATTCTAGATTTTGGCAAGATAATCATCTATACTAATAACCTGAAAATTATCCGAACTTCAATGGATAAAAGAGACTTCATGAGAAAAGTCCTTCAGAAGGGAGAGGAGGCTGAGGAACAGTCTCTGGTGAGCAAAGAAGAGGGTGATGGAGACAGTGATCAGACTGATGGCCCACTGCCAGAAACAGAAACCACATTTGCCCACAACCAATATATCCAGGTACGGCAAAGCGGATTATGATTGGGTTTCTGTCATGGGGATATCCACCACAGAGACCATCATGACTCTGAGAATCCTTTCAACTTCCTCATTTCCTGTATTTTAGCTGCTTCAGTCCTTAAAAAGGTCATTATCACAGATACTTTTCTATAGTCTAAGAAAGACCAAAGAAGAATACAAACATCTTTTAAGTGAATTATTAATTTATGGAGTTCCCCAAAGAAAGTATCTTTTCCAAAAGCATATAGAGCTGATTACTAGAGAATGTGAAGTTAGAGTAGTGCAATTGGGAACTAAACCAAAGGAAAAAATTACAAATGTCAACTTTTCCCCACTGTATTAAGGTAAAATGCTTTGTAAACTTTAGCACACTATATAAATGTAAGCTATTGTTATCAACAGCTTATGTTTAAAAAATTTTTTATGGATGTCTTTTTCACATTGTGTTCACTGTTTGATCAACCTCCGCCTTATTGCCCTCTCTTGTTAACAAAGAAGTACAGTTAAGAAAAGCAAACCGATACATTGCTCCTGTCTGACAACATGTGCTTCATTCTGTACCTGCAGTCCATCATCCCTCTACTGAGAGAAGGGAGGCATATTTTGTGACCAGGCCTCTGAAGTCAAGATTGCCTACCTTAGTTTTGAAATCATTCTTTGTTATGCGCAGATATAGACTTATTTGGATCTTTAAACTGCTGATCTTGGACAATAAAGCTTTGTTTAGATGAAGAGTCTTCCCATTTTGCTTGATTTTATGGTGATTTATGCTTTTTTGGGGGAAATCTCTTCTCATTCCTGGTAGGAGAACAAGTCAAATGCTATACGAACACCCTTTAAAACAAATTTTTAGCTGGCCTTTATAGATAATTTTAGAAACATGTACCTTAAGGGTTGGAAGGGCCTTTAGCGAATCAAGTAATTGCTAAGTAGATCTTAAGGATCCACTAGCTGTGTGATTCTGGGCAGGTCCCCTAACCTCTGTCTCAGTTTTTTCATCTGTAAAACGGAGATAATAATAGCACTTACCTCCTTGTGAGGATACAATTTATAACATTTGTAAAGATATTTATAAATTTTATAAAGACATTTATAAACACAAAATTGTAAGTTTTACAAAAGTAATATTTATAAAGCATTTTGCAAACATGCTATAATGCTGACTATAGCTCACTTATCTCATCGAACCCTCTCACTTTACACATAGATGAGGTAATTTCCTCAAGTGTACATTGCGATTTCTGAACAAAAATGGCCACTTAAAACTATTAGAAGAGGACTTTGAAGCCTCATTATTGTTTAATACATACTGTTCTGGTAATTTAATTTATTAATACATTCCATGTTCAATAAGCATTTTTATATGCATTTACTTTGTAGGGAGGAATAGGAAAGCAGTTGCCTGTGCAGTAGACATGGCAAGGATAATCAGGGAGAGAGGAGAGAAGGAAAGAAGGGATGAGGGATTGGTGAATCAATCAAATATTTATTGAGAACTTATTATAGGATATATAGAATTATAGGATATATAGAATATATTATATATATGAATACACTAGGTATTGTGGGGGATGCAAAGAGAGATGTAATTGTTTGGTAACTAATAAAAAGTTCTAAAGGTGTCATATGCAAAAACGGTTATTTAAAGTTAAACAAGCCTTTGGGACAAGATTTGGGAAAAAGGTTGGTATACTTGCATTTCTAGGCCCCTGACTTTAAATTCCAATATCATCATTGATATCACATGTTGTGTATATCAGTGGAGTCCTGACCTCTGGAAGTGTGCATTATTATATGTTTCTTTTTAGACATATATGCGTAATAAGATGAATACATAAAACTTTTATCATGCTGTACACTGACTATTACTAGCGTACTGTGTACTTCTTTTAGGGTCAGCGTACTTTAAAAAATGATAACTGGAACTCAAAATCTTGTGGAAGTGAATGTTGAAAACTAAAAATAAATTAATTAATAAAAAATGACAACTGAAACTAATTTGCTGCTTGAAAGTTTTCAAAGAGCTTTATAGATATTATCTTACCTAAACCTTATAAGAACTTTGTGAACTAAGTGCTACGTTCCTTATGGTACAGATGAGGAAACTGAGTCTCAGGCATGGTTTTGTGACTTGCTTATGGTCACCTAGCTACTAAGAGTCCAAATGACAATTTGAATCCAGGTCTTTCTCACATTCAAGGGCAGAGACATTCAAGGCCAGAATGCTATTTGTCTACTATCCCAACAGTTTTCAAGCATAGCTTTGGGGACCCCAAGCTCCTTTCAGGGGGTCCTCAAAGTCAAAACCGTTTCATAATAATACCAAGATCTTTTAATTTCTAATGTAGTAAATAGATATAACCCACATAAACAAAAGTTCTTGGTGGGGATTTCCTCTATAATTTTTAAGAGCATTAAGGGATCCTGACACTAAAAAGTTTGAGAACCACTGGATTACATCATTCTGTTTCTTTAAAAAAAAAAGACTTTAATTTTTTTGGTCCTGTGATTTCATCAGAGTGAGGAATTGCTGGCGTACAAATTTACATTATTATTTTGGTGGGTGGAAGGTGAGATTTTAAAAAAAATTTTGTCTTTGATCTTTGACTTTATCACTGTGGAAACTTCTTTAACAGTCACAGATTGGCAAACTTTATAATATTAGAGACTTATCTCAGGTCCCCGAGAATTCGAATGACTTGCCTAGGGTCCCAAAGATGGGATGTGACTCCAGAGTTGGTCCCCATTCTATTATGCCAAGCTGCCAAAAAAAAAAAAGGTATTCTTCATTTAAAAGGATACTAGAAAGATTTTAGAGAAGAGGGGAAATGATAACTAAAGTCACAGAAGATTAATTTCTTAAAAAAAGAATATTCATTCAACATAAAATTACTAAACATCTACTATATGCAAAGTTTTGTGTTGGGGATAAAAAGATGGTATCTGCCCTCAAGGAAGATATGATGTGATTAAGGGGTCTAGGACTTCATTATTTTCTAGTGTAAGAAAGGCCTTTGTGCAGGAGATACCTAGAGGTTTTTCATATGCTTGGAAAACCAATTAACAGCACAAATGAAAATAAGAAAAAGACTTCCCTTCCATATAAGGAAGAACTTCTTGTCTTTTAGGTTAATGAAAGAGGTAATCAAAGGATGTTTTGATGCCTGCATCTCTAGAGATAGCCAAGAAGAGAGTAGGTAGGTCTATGGCCTGGACATTTGTCTATAAGCAGGTAACTGGATAGTTCTATTTGTGAAGTTCTAGAATCCATCCAGTTCTAGAATCACATTTTATAATTTTCCCCACGTGTTTTCATGTAGTGTAAGCAACAGTTACTGTTCAGGGGAGATTGATTTTATTAAAACTCTGGGCAGAGAGACAGTGTGATACAATGGATACAATGTTTTATAATTTCCCCCCATATGTTTTCATGTAATATGAGCAACAGTCATTGTTCAGGAGAGACTAATTTTATTAAAACTCTGGGCAGGGAAACAGTGTGATGCAATGGATAGGGAGTAGTAGCTGTTGCTTGACAGACATGGATCTGAATCCTTCCTTTGAAGGATTCAATTTGCTTATTTGTTAAGAAAAAAGGCATCAGGTCGAACCAGGCCTGAATTAAAGTGTGTTTCAGCAAAGCTGGCATAAAAAGTATTCTTAATTTCAGTTTTGAGAGATTTGTGGGTTTTAGAAACTATGCTACAAATTAAGACAGAATTGTAGAACAAAGATGCTGTAGTAAAAAATTGCACCTAATTTACCCTCCATCTGAACTGTGCATTAAAATGCTACTTGTTCCCTTATTCTTTGGAAAAGTTTTGTTTTTAAAAAGGCCAAAGATCATCAAGGAGTCTCTTCTAAGTGACTTCTTGCTCCATTATATGGAAGAATGAAGCTACTGGAGACCTTTATAAAAGATGGAGTATGTATGAAAGTCAGAATAATCCTTGAACCCATATATTTAGCTATATTGGAAAAAAAAGGAAAGAAAGGAGAGGAGAGAAAATTGAACTCAGTTGCAATGAAACATGGAGAAAAAAATGTGTGCTCACTTGACTCGATCTCATAAATCACTGGAACTTCTGTATGCTTTATGTGATTTTACTCAGAACCTTGGTTTCCACTGAGACACATTATTTGTCTCGTTTTAAAGAAAAAAAATCTAAAAAGAAGGATGGGTAAAACAGACCCTGAGAGAAGAATAAAAATCTCAGCTCCATCTAGAATTGTCTCTGTTTTCTTGGTGTTTGACTTGTATTGAAAAGGAAGCAAAATGACTAGAAACTATTCAAGAAATTGGGAGCTAATTCTTGAGAAGTAAGGTCAGGCTAAAGAAGCACTTTGATTCCTTCACTAGTTGTGTGACTCTGGGCAACTGATTTTTATTTATCCTCATTTAAGAGATGGAGATCTCAGCCTCAGTTCCCACATCTGGAAAATGGAGGCATAAGCATACATCTTGTCTCATAGGATTGTGGTGAAGGAAGTGCTTGGTAAATAGTAAAGCCCTACATGAATGTGAACTATCATTTCCTATGGTTCACTTGGGGATAACACTCTGCAAAGTGTACAGACATTAGAATCCTCTAGATTTAGGGTGTGAGATATTGCCAGTGGTGGAGATGGAAATTATTTCCTTGGAACCTCATTTGTGGCACAATAAAATTCCATTTTTACTAAATGAATCAGGTCCAAGTTTGGCCACAAAAATAGATTTTTGAGAAAAATGTAGATCGACAATTTCCCCCTAAGATACCTTTTTCGGAAAACATACTTTATTCTTTTTGAATAATGATGTGGAAAATGTCAGCATTCCTCAATCTCCCTCACATTAATCAGTCAGGAAACACAAGTTAATAATTCATTAAAAAAAAAGTTCATCAGCATCCCTCGAACCTCCTTTGCCAGTTGCACTGGCTTTATTTCACAGAACCAGAACTTTCTTTAAAAAGGTAGCTCCCTTTACTTCTTGGAAGAATCGTAAGGTTTAATACATACCAAGATCCTGAAGTGTGGTGGTAGTGAGCAGGAGGTAAAGAAGGAGGAGGGAAAGCAAAAATGATAGGGTCTCAGGATAGGAGGAGGAACTCAAGATGTAGGATTTGGAACCCAAAGCTTTTTCATAGCAGTGCCTAGGAAAACTGGAAGAAGGCTCCATAATTGACATACCTCTAATTAGCGTACAAGCTATTAATGAAAGGTGCAAAACAAAACTAATTTTAATCCACTGGGATCAATGACTACATGTCACATGACTTTCATGAAAGGTGCTGCAAAATTTAACGACAGAGTATTAAAGCTTCATAGATTGGAAAGTATTTGTCTATCCTATTCTTTAAAATTACTAGTTATATATGACAGCGTGAATTCCTATCTAGGCATCTAGCATCAGTACATATAGTGCTGAAGACCTGATTTCAAATACCACTTCAGACACTTACTGTGTGGCCCTGAGCAAGTCACTTAACCTCTGTCTGCCTTAATTTGCTCAACTGTAAAATGGGGATAATAACGCCAGCTTCCCAGGGTTCTTGTAAGGATCAAAAGATATAATACATGTAGGGTGCTTTGCAAACTTTACAATACAATACAAATGCTAGATATTACGAGCCCTTGGCTGTCCCATTACTTCTGGTCTCATATTAGACATTTGTGGTAAACTGGAATCTTTTGCTGGACTCTCTTTCCTTGCCTAGAACCATTTGTGTAGATGATGGGCCTGTGTTGAAACAATACCTAACTCTTGGCTTTATTTCTTTCAGGAAGGGGAGATCCCTGAGCACAATTGCTTCCACTGTAGAGGATCAGGCAGCGCTACTTTTCTCTGTGCCATGGAAGCAAATTTTCAATGCTGGCTAATAGATTTAAAGAATCTTACCGGGCCCTACGGTGTCGTGCTTGTAATGAGAATGGTCTCCAGCCCTGCCAGATTTGCAACCTATAACTTATGACTTCCATGTGTCTGGTTTGACTGTCTGGTTTGGTTTCTGATAAATCGCTGGGTCCTTCGTGTGATCTCATCAGCAGAGGAACAGCTGAAATTGTTGTCACCTGTGCCACCAGCAAATCTAGATGATACATCTGTCTAACTGGGGGTAGGGGTCTAAGTGCGGAGCATTTGGGACTTCCGCTCTTTTCTGGGACTAATGCTAACAGTGTCCTCCAGGGGGCCTCAGCTCAGTTCTCTTGTGATAGTGAATGTACGCTTTAGTTAGACGCTTGAAACCACTTTTTGTTTTGTTTTGTTGGGGGGCTGTTTTGCATTCAGTTCAACAAACATTTAAGCTTCCTTGATGCAATACAAGGTACTGTTCTGGGTGCTGTTGGCACAAAGACAACAATGAAAGTCTGTGCCCTTGGGAAGCTTACAGTCTAATGTACAAAGATACACAGATACAAAGTATATGCAAAGTGACACAAAGTAAGTTCATGACACATAAGTGGAAGATCAGAAAAGCCTTCATGTTCAGGAGGTGGCCCCTGAGCTCCCCTTGGAAGGAAACTAAAGATTCTTAGAGTAAGAACTGAGAAATGAGGACATTCCAGACATGGTGGATGGCTGCAAACCTGTGTAAGGAGAAAAGGAATGAAATGGCAAGATTCTGGTGAACAGAATTCTGTTGCTTGTAATACATATTAAATTGTCATTGGTCAAATTGACATTCTAATTTATTAGGAGAGACAGGCATTCCAAATGTCTAGCAAGTCATTGCTAGAAATGCAGATGGTGAGAACTTTCTAGGTAAGATAAGCAAATGGAGTAGGCCCTTTCTTCCAGAGCCTTTAGGTGATTATGCCTGATGTGCTTGGGTAATAGTGGCACAGGCAGCAAGGAATATGGTTACTTTTAAGGACATGATAAGAAAAGACGCTGCTATGTGCCTTTAACTACAGAAGTTTTAAGCCAAGTCAAAGTTCCTTATGACAAATTTGGTGCTTAGGTGGGCATGTGATTTTAGACTTCCTTCAGCCCCAAATTATTAATATGTAAATAAGTTCATTTTAATTCTGCAATGACTCTCTTATCTCTCCATAAATGGTGGGCGAAAATAACTTATTGCTAAAACCTTTCTTTTTAGATCCTCCTCCAAATCTATTTTTGCCTTAATCAAGGCAGGTTTAGAAATATTCCCTCCCATACGTATACCCATATATATAGTGAAGTACAGTAAGGTGGTGAGTAATAGTAAGTGTTGGTGTCTTAGGGATTTGTTTATCTCCAAGATTCAACTGTTAAAATAATTTAATGGTGTAGTTCTTTTCAGGTAACTTAGATCTTTCTTTTTTGAAAAGATAAAAATATTCCTTATACAGGTAAACACTTTCTATATCCAGTTTCTCTCATCAGATCCCCCACGTCATGACATGCTATTACTCACCCACCTTTACATATCTCTGTAATTAACTACCTCCCACCTTTCTTTGTCTTTCACAGTATTCTACCAGCTATTGGAACTGACATGTCCCAGAACTATAGAGAAGGAAGTGATTTTGAACCACCATTTAGTCAATCCCCTTGCCTTCAGGAATTATACTCTAGTATAAAGGGCTCCCCCGGGCCCCCTTCTCCTAATCCCCATATTTTGTTAGGTATTTGTTATTCTAAGACTATTTTTATACTAAATAATAAATGAATCATTAGCAGTTGTGCTGCGTCTTTCTTTAATTGCTAAGTGTGGAATTACATGCCTTGGTGGCATAGAAACAAATGCAAGGTTTTGGTTGGAAGGCTATTTAAAAGAATTACCTGCATGATTCTCACACCTGCAATTGAAAGAAAGTCTTGGGGGCAAATAACCTAATTTTGGGCCATCCATGGATTCTAAACTTTGATGTGACCACAATTTCTTGCCCATCTTGTGTGCTAAGGAAATCACTGGTCTTACAGCAATGGTCTTATTATGACTAAGACAGTCTAAAATTTCCCTCCTGTGCTTTAACTTTGAGTTAAACTGTTGAATTGTGTGCAGGTCTTAAAATTTTACCCCATAAGTAGTTGTATAATGATGCCAAATAAAGTGATTCTTTGCATTTATAAGCACTACTAGCTCTTAGGAAGCACGAAGACCTAAGCTAAAGGTTTTGTGGTCTTCTGGAATCATCTGGAATGGTAGAGGACTGCTATGACAATTCTTTCCAAGAACTGATAATTTTTTCTGGGATGAAAAATATGGTTGTATTTGCTTCCCCCCCCCCCCAGAGTTGTCCATACGATAGTTCATTGATGAGTCTCTAGAAGATGAAATAGAGGTCTACAACTGAGGTCATACAGTTTTTAGACAATGTTTTTACTCATGTTTTTTAAAATATTCTCCCCCAAATTATGGGGAAATACTATTTAGTTGTTTGCTCTTAGGCAAGTCACTTTATCATTCTGTGCCTTAGTCTCCTTGTCTTTAACAAGAAGGGCATAGACTAAGCAAGCTCTGAGTTCCCTTCTATCCCTTGATCCACTATCCTATGATTAAGGAAATTGTTCATTCTGGGTTTTTGTTATTTTTTTTTAAAGATCTAGCATAATTTCTTTACTGTAGTAATTTTAAAAGTAAGTTTAACCACAAGATTTATGGGAACCCAAATGTCAGTCCTGAGTTTTTCAAGTGTTAGATGGTGCTATTTAAAAGCGAAATGACTGGTCTCCTCTTCTTGTAATGGGTATATGTAATATAGTAGAAAGAATGCTGAATTTGGATTCCGAAGGATTTCATTCAAATCCTATTTACAAGTTGGGATAACTTAGGCAAGAAAAAGGGAAAAAGGACCTAGACCTGTGATTTCATTGGTATCGGGAACTTGTAGTTCAGGCAATTCCCTCCCCGCTGTAGATTGGCATCTTCTCTGCAATGTCTAATGTTTGAGAGTGGCTTCCCTATAGCACTGAGAAGTTGCCCAGGGTTGCACATCTAGTATGTGGCAGGGATAGATTTAAACACAGGTCTTCCTGGCTTTGAGGTTCATCTCTTCATCTACTACACCACATAGCATAGAAGATACTACCTTAAAATTTTCAGAAAGTCATGTAATCTTCTGAGCCTAAGTTGTTGTCCATAAAATGGGGATAATAATACTTTTATTACCTTTTGCACCAGGCTTTTATAAGGTTCAAATGAGATAACAGACATGAAAGTGGTTTTGTAAATTCTAAAGTCCTGTCCAACTCTCCTTGGATTCATTTGGGGTTTTCTTGGCAAAGATACTGGAGTGGTTTGCCATTTCCTTCTCCAGCTCATTTTACAGAGGAAGAAGCTGAAGCAAGTAGTGTTAAGTGGCTTGCCTGGGGCCACACAACTAGTAAGTATCTGAGGCTGGATTTGAACTCAGGCCTTCCTGACTCCTGGCTCTGTGGAACTCTATTCACTGCACCACCTAGCTACCCCTCACCACTTAGCTGCCCCTATATAAGCATGAGAACTTATTAATATGCTTTATACTGGAAAACTATCTCACCTACTTCTACACTTACAAACCTGTGATAGAGAGTAGCTCCTATTTCTATACTGATTTCTTTTTTCCTTCTAAGTTCTATTGATGTGCTTTGTTTTTACATTACAAACATTTACAATTCACCCCTACTCTATGAGAGGTCTTTTGTAAGAAAACAAAACAATTAAGCAAAATAAACACTACCGTGACCTCATTTGAATGTGTGTGCAACATTCCATAGAACCCCTACTTCTTTATTATTTAAAGAAAAATTTTAATTAATAAAAATCTTTTTTCTCTTTCTCCCACTTCTGAACTTATTAGAAAAAAAAAGATAAAAGAAAAATGAATTCCTTGAAATGAATATTCATAGTCAACCAAAATTAAGTCCCTCATTGGGTGTATACAAAAATATGTCATCCTAATCTTTTTTTTCCCCTCCCCAGTGTGCTTCTCTCATAATAATCTTGAGAGGTAGTTAGGTAAAATGTTATGACATTTCTACAAATGAGGAAACTGAGGTTCCTGAGAGGTGATAAATAGTATTTGCCCAAGATCACATGGCAAACATGTGCTAGAATCAGGACTCAAATCTGAGTCTTTTGCTCATAAGACTAGAGCCCTAGCCACTATACAACAGTGTTGGCAAATCTTTTCAGCAAACAAACCATGTCTATAACCAAACTGGGCTACGTGAAAGCTAAAGAAAGGGCCCCACCTATGCTATTTTAAAGAATTTGGGTTCATATTATTTCAAAGGTATTTGATGTAGATTTTGAGACATAGCATGTTATAGTGGGTAGAGCCCTGTCCTTGAAGTGAGGACGCCTCCTGTAAGTTCTGCCTAATGTCTGGATGCAATCATGGGCAAGCACTAACTTTTCACCTCTCAAACAGAGTCTGGTTTCTTCACTTGTCAAGACGGAATTTGATAAGCCTTGTGCTACATGTTATGCGGAAGGTTGTATGGAAAACATTATCTAAATGTAAGTTATTATTATAAATCCATTGTTGGACAAACCTAGAAATAGTCTCAGGGAGAAAAAGCATCCCACAGTGTACCACAAAACTGACAAAGGATACAATATTATCACTTTGTATCTGCTTCATGGATTTTTAAAAAAGTATTTAGAAATGAAGTTATTGTTGTTGCAATCTGGGTATTTAGGCAAGTTCCAGATTGAGGAGATTAAATTGGTGTATTACAATCTTTATATTTGGAGGGAGCATTGATATCAATGAGATTCAGTGGAATATTGATGTAATCGGTGTGTTTTCTCTGAACCTGAGATGTGTGTGTATGTGTGTGTGTGTGTGTGGGGGGAATCATTTGCACAGTAGAACACTAGTTAACAAAGAAAATTCTGAAATGAAATAGACAACAAATTGAATTCAACCTGAAGCTTAGCCTTTTAATTTATTTCCCCAAATCATCAGATCTGCCACATTGCTATTTAGTTTGGCAAAGCCACATTAAGTTGGCCAATATTTCTTAGTGTTACTCTATTTCTTTTCAGTCAT